CCACTGGTGCGTTGGGCCCTGGGGCCGAGGGCACATCTGTAGGCGGTCAGAGGGGGAATCAGCTGCTGGAACAAGTGCTTTGTTAACTGAAAGCTGCCTTGGGTAAGCCTGTGCCTCGCTGGGACTGTGCAGAAGGCGTTTTTATATAGAGCGAAGGCCGAGAATAGGCTCCAACTCTATTTCTAGGTACTGCAGATAAAGCATGAATGTTTTACTGCTTTTTTTTTTTGAAAAAAAAAAAAAAATCCCTCCAAAGCTTTAAGTGCAGTCACTAAAAGCATCGTCTTGCCAGCGGAGCTAATGGGAAGGCTCCGATTGCCCCCATGGCTCTTGCAGTGTTTCACCATCACATGCAGAGTTGGTGCTGCTGAGGGTCCGGCGCTCTGCCGGTGCAGCAGCGCTGGGGAAATCAGGGTCCTGGCTGTGCAGACCATCACGGTGTCCCTTGCATTGCTGCCGGTTTGGGTCTCCCCTTCCACTCGGGAGGGCCTCTCGGTGAAGCCGGGTGCGGGGCTGGGAGGGGAGAGGCTGTGAGCTGCCTCCCTGCGGGACATCTCTGACGGCTGAGCTGTGACAAGCTGCCTGGGCTCCGCTGGTGGGGAAGGACCAGGATTGTAACTGCCCCGTCTTGGTTGTTTCCTAGTGGAAGAAGCACTGGTTTGTGCTGACCGACCAGAGCCTGAGATACTACCGGGATTCAGTGGCAGAGGAGGTAAGTGTCTTCTCCATCGGTGTTCAACCCATCGCTTTGCAGCCAGGGGAGCCTCAGGAGCTCCCAAACTGACCGCGGGCAGGTTGTCTTCCAAGATGCCGAGGTCCAGGAGCATCATTCTGCAGGGCTTCGTGCTTCCCGAGGACCTGCTGAATGCCTCCCTGCGAGCCTACCATACTTTGGGATTGCAAAGCATTAACAGCTTATTTTACCTCTTCCCTCTCCAGGCAGCTGACTTGGATGGAGAAATCGATTTATCCACGTGCTATGATGTTACTGAGTACCCCGTTCAGCGAAACTACGGCTTCCAGATCCACGTAAGGAAAATGTGGGGAGGAGGAAGAGTCTGGCTGAAGGACAGCGGACAGGGCTGCTCATGCTGTGCTGCTGCTTGGGGCTGCTCGTCCCTGGCAAGGGAAGCATCTCCCCAAACACCTAAGAGAGGCCACCCGGCATCCCTCACATACTCCAGAGAGCTATGGCCTTGGATTTGAGAGACAGTTTTTTGGCTGGGGGAAGGGGAAGGGGGAAAGGGAAGGGTTTGTCTCAACCTTAGGGACTCAGCTACGGCAAAAGTAGCCTGATTGCTGAGAAACACTAATTACCGCCGTGAGCGTGCTGGGTGATGGAGGGGCTGGGTGTGACCTCCGCACAGCCAGCGAGCAGGGCCCCAGCACTGGATGCTCGGGGCTGGGTGCAGGGTGGTATTGGGAAGGGGTGTGGGAAGGTGTTGGTGGGTACAGTCAGCTGCTCTGAGCCGGTCCTCCTCTCTCCCTAGACGAAGGAAGGAGAGTTCACCCTCTCAGCCATGACATCGGGCATTCGCCGCAACTGGATCCAGACCATCATGAAGCACGTTCGTCCCACCACTGCTCCCGATGTAACAAGGTAAAGGAGGGAGTTTAGCAGCCCGTGCAGTTGTCCAGTTTGCTGTGCAGGAGTGATTCTTCCCTTATCCCTTTCTTTCCTCTTCCTGAGCCTGTCCATTCCTGGAAGCTGCGGCTCTTTCTCACATCCCTCTCTCTGGGCTTAATTTGGTTACACTTTGTGGGGATGCTGATATACTGAGTTATTCTTACGCGTGCAGATTTCAAAGAGGGTTGAAAATGTGGCTTTAATTTGTGCATAGGAATATGAAATACTGTTCCTATATCAAGGCTCCTCTGGATTCCCACCAGGTATTGTGAAACCACTTGGATTCAGTTGTGCCGGGTTCCCCCTTTCCTCTGGCTACTGTTCAGCACGAGCTGCCCATCCCTTCCACGGGTCACGGCAGCACAAGCCCAGGGTTCAATTTAGAAGCTGTTTGGCTCTGCTGTGTTTTAAACTCCAGCCAGCAAATTGTCTTCCCTCCTCTTTTGATCTTCCAGATAGCTGCCGCAGCTCCTTCCCCTTATGCGTTAGTAATGCTGGCATCTCCTCCTGCCGTCAGTGCCAGAGGAAGGGACCCCCCCTGCTTCACAGAGTACCTTCTGTGAGCGCTTGCGGCTGTGGGTAAAGGGTGTTTGACCTCCTCACAGCTAACCGTGCCAGCCACACTCGTACGGGCCACCTCTTACAGGCTTCATGGACACAGCCGCACCATTAACTCCCATCTCCTGTCCTTACCGTAGCTGCAACGAGCAGGTTTTTGCCAGGTTTGTCTCCACGTTGACGGAATGGCTCTTCTCACTCGGTGCTGTTGACTTGGAGATGCTCCAGCCTCTCCTTCCCCATCCCGCTTGGCACTCGGCCACTGTTTCCCAGCCCTGCCCGAGCTCTGGTGGATCTCGCGGGGGTCTCGGGGAAGTCACCTCTCTCCTCACTCCTGTGTATGTTTGATTTCCATGCAATCCCAGGAAAAACTTCTCTTTGAAACTATCCGTGCTGAAGCCCAGGTTGGAAAACTGTGTTCTCTCCTGTATTAACGTTTTGTGGTTTGTATATCTTGTGATTCACTGCATGCTCCTCCTTTTCTGCACCTCAGATGGGAAGTCCTGCAGTTTCCATTTATTTTTCTTTCTTTCCTTTTTTTTCTCCCCCCTCCCTTTTTTTTTTCTTTAAATAAAAGCCAGAGAGAAGGGAAGAAACAACCTGATCTTGACACTTGATTTCCCCACACTGGTATCTTCCGATGTGACTAGATATGAAGATGAAGACCAAGGAAATTTGGGGGTCCTGTCTGCCTTTAAAGAGCCAGATAATTTATAGCCTAACAGGTTACTGTGGCCCAGTTGTCATGTGCTCGCTGTCTTTGCATCTGCTCCAAGCCCACGTGAAGTGGTTTGACTTGGGTTACCCTCATGAGAGGGTCCAAGCACAGGTACCGGTTGGGTAGTAACTTGTTATGCTGTATAAATAGTCCGTGGATCTCAATCCTGAGCTGGCGAAAAGGGGGATTATAGGTGCACTTCTGTCGTTTTCCACTGAGCTGGTTTCGGATGGGGTAGAGTCTGGCGTGGGTTGTTCACATTGCTGAGGAGTTGTTGCTGTGAGCTGAAGGGCTGCGCCGTGCGTGAAGCAGGGCTGTGTTCACCCGGTGCCTGCTCACAAGCCCGATGCCGTAGGGCCGGGTATCCCAGCCCATCCCGCCTGGCTTTGGGCACATCATTAACATCCGCACCCGGGGAGTGGCTTCTGAATGGGGCTGCGGGAAAGCTGAAGGACAGACTGCCAAAGGCTCGTGATGAAGAGGTGGCAAACGTCTGCACAGCGTGGCCGGGGTGCAAGAGGGACGTTAGTCTGGATGCTCGGCTGTGCCGGGAGGGCGACGGTGTTTGCTTCGTCCCTGGGGCTGGTCTGACACCGCAGACTCCATGTCTCTCATTACCCTGCTGCTATGTCTCCACCGAACCAAACACACGTTTTCTCAGTTACTCAAGTCCTAATTACTGTTTATATTGCTGTGTCTGTCAGCACCTCAGCAGTGCCCTGCAGTCTGCAGAGACACTAATTACACTCTGCTAATGATGACCATGCAGATAGAAAATTCCCACAAGAAAGGAGGTGGCCGCTTCAGCGCTGGGTCCTTGTTCGGCTGAGTTCCCCCATGCTCCCCCAGTTCCCTGCAGCCTTCGTGTGCTTCTTGCACGCTGCCGCAGCGTGCTTGGCTCGTGGTTTGCGCCGCTCCCACAGCCACCCGTATCAAAAAAAAAAAACCCTTTTTGTTTTCACTAATAAATACCATTGCAAGGCAAAGACACCCCCGCCATGTGATCTGAATTAATTTGTCTGGGACGGAGGAGATGTGAAATGCTTGAGCAGAATTAATAGCTGTGGGGCACTTGCGGGAGATGAAACAAGAAACTTCAGGTCAGTCTTCTGAGTCTCTTAGGTCAGTTCCCAGCGGCCGCCCCTCCGCTCCCTGACACACATCCCGCGCCCTTTGGAAAGCAGCAGAGGAGAAATGAGCTTGCGAGAGATGTCACCTCTAGAAATGCCGACATTCTTCCACATGGTATTTAGAGCAGCGTAATTTCTGTCTCTCAACATCGTCCGAGGGGCCCCGAGACCCCTTTTTTTCCTAGCGCTCTTGTCCGTTTTGAGACTCAATCTCGTCCCCGCTTTACTTATTGAAAATGCAGCTGTAATCACTAACGGACTCCAGATTGAGTGCCTGGCGTTGGAGTCCTGCAATATCTCCCACTGGTTGAGGAGTGGGGAGGTTTCATCGTGGTGCCTTTTTGGGTTTACTTTATTAGCCGCAAGTGACAGAGCTGAAGAATGAATTATCTCTGAGCTGGTTTTAGCCTGTAACTGCCAGAGTTTCGTGAAACCCAGCTCTACTGAGCCTGTGGTTTGATGGTGGATGAAAGTGCATCGGAAGATACTAGCTCCGGACCCATGCAGAGTCATCTCTTCTGCTCCATTCTTTGTTTTGGGCATACGCACATACATGAGGTTGTTGGCTGCGGGAGCTGGGGTTGTCTTACCAAGACGGGAGGAGAAGCCGTGCTGCTGCTGCTCCCTCCCGGTCCCGGCAGTCTTGGTGCATGCGGTCCCGTGGGTCAGAGCCCCGTTAGCGGTGATGTGCCTGCAGCGAAGGGCCCGGGGAGCTGCTTTCCAGCTTTTCTCACTGCGCCATTCCAGAAAGCTTGTTGAGGCTGTGCTGGAGGCTGGAGCCCGGGGGGATGCTCTGGTTTGGTTGTACTGGAAGCGGGGAGAGCCAGGAGTCAGGCTGAGCGGCCGGGCTGTGCCTTGGGAGGCATCTCAGGGGGCTTCTGATAGCAAAGAGGGTTCAGCAAATGCCTGCCACTCCCTCGGGACGGGCTTCCTCTGCAAACTTAGCATACCGCTGTTTTCTTTTTAATTTTGATCTGCATGTTACAAGGCTGGCATGTCTACGTTTAATAAGCTAATACTGCATTATGGATTATCCTTAGGTTGGAAACAGTATTGCCTTCCCCTATTAACTTTCCCTGCTTGACGAGTATGTCTCCCTTCTCAACCCACCACCCTCTAACTCAGCACTAAAAATCATTCCTTGCTTGAGAAATCGGCATTTCCAGTGACTCCACGGTGTGTTGAATAACTCTTGCTCTCCTTGCTGCACCAACAACTGCACATACAGCGTGCCGTTCCCATGCCGGGGCAGCTGCCCGAGCTGCCCGTAAGGCTGGTTTCCCCGGGGGAGATCTGTGCCTTCAGTGCAGATAGTGGCACGGAGAAGTTTTCAACCCCTTAATACCCTGACTTTGCCAAGCTCGAGGAAAACCTTTCCCCTGTTACCCAAGACCTTTGGGAGCTGCTCTGCGCTTCTCCACCCCGCAGCTCTGAAGCCAGACTGACTTTGGTGGGACTGGCGGCATCCTCACCGCAAGCACGTGACTATGGCCGCGTCGACC